CTCTCTCTCTCTCTCTCTCTCTCTCTCTCTCTTTGTTTATTGCATTCAATAACAATTTGAAAGTCAAACTAAAGAGAAAATGTTTGCACATTAGTAGTGATCCGTCATTTAAGTTATGCTATATTATTACCGATTCTTTCAATGCATATATGAGTTGATCATAAAATTGTAAACTAATTAAAGGATTGCTAATGAAATCTTTATTGTAAATTACTTTTAAATAAATAAATGACCAAATGTGTCAGTCCCTCGTGTATATTTCTCATACAATAATCATATATACAACACTTCAATCACTCATATCTTCGACACTTTTACTTAAAGATTTTAAGACACATACAATCGAAGTAATGTTAACTTAAGGCCCGAACCCCAACCCCAACCATAACTTATGGTCCATAACCTTGTAAAACAATAAAGATTACAATACCTATTATTTGAATGCCTCTAATGTTCTAATGTTTTCTCTACTATCATTTGGTGTACACATTTGGTGCACATTTATGCCAATCTAATTGAATATTCTACAAATTTAATGTATTCATAGTATGAATTAGTAAAGTTAATGAATGATGAGATTTATCTTTCTTTGTTCCCAATATTTTGATTCTTTAATAAAAGTTAATCTAAATTTTAACCATAAATTCTTTGTTTATTCAATGGAATATTTGCGTAAATTTTACTAAGAATTTACTAAATTTGCAAAGATATTTGAAATAAATATATAATTATTAAAACTAAACTATAGTAGGTTTGACTAAACATGTAAATTATGCAGAATAAGTGAGCTGTTTATGTTTACTTTAATTTGTTTATACTTATTAAATTAATGAGACAGTTTATTATAATAATCGAATTGATTTAATCGAGTGATATAATTGGCAAACGAGATTCAATAGAGAGTAATTGATTGAGTTATGTGTTAGAGTTGTAATGGCAATCATTTCACTGTATTGTTGTTATTCTCGTATACTCTCCACTCGTAATCTCGACAATTGTGTTGACCGCCACTGCAATCTGGTTTAGCCATTAATACCACTCCATCTCAATAGTAATCGGATCCCCAAAAGCGATGTAAATATCTCTTTCATTACAATTCGTGTTTTAGTTAATAATACATTTTGGATCAAATATATGAATGACTGAACTTTTAATAGTGAATACTTTACACGACTTTCTACTCTTTTATAATAGAATCAGTCGTGAATTCATGCATTCATTCATTTAAATCTATATAATAATTAACAATTATTGGAGCTAGTATAATTGATCTAATTTTAATCTGACTAATTATCAACGTAAATTCTCACATTATATTTACCATATAGTCCACACACGACGTGCATCTTCAGGTGTTCATTAAAATGGTTATATAAATTATTAAGTTATATACAAATGCCTTCCAATTGTAGAGCGCACTAATAGATACTATGCTGTCGTTTACAGCATTAAATATACCAATATGTTACATAACTTATGTTGAGCATGCATTATACCGTATAATACTATTTAATAATTAGGCTGACCATACACCAGGGTAGTCTTAAAGTTCTAACAACTAATACATATGTAAACTTTACATCCAATAAATCACATGAAAATATATGTATCATTTATGTTATCAATTATAAATGTTGTATTCATTTATCCGTGTTTTTAAGTATAGTATTGTATTTTTCACCGTTTATAATACCCGGTAGAGAGAGAGAGAGAGAGAGAGAGAGAGAGAGAGAGAGAGAGAATTTATTGGGTTTAGATGTTATGTTTAATATTGTTGTGAAAGTTGTGTTTCTGTGCCTAAGAAGTGACCAAAAGAGCCAATGAGAAGAGAGTGGTATCAGTTTTTATGACTTATGTCAGGTCAGGTGCTGTGAATAATTGCAATTCTAGAAGTACTGCCATTGAGAGTCAAATCGACATTTTTACTGCACATCTCTTTAGGGTTTGGATCACATCATAAATCATTGGAATTTGTTTTGCAGTATCGATACGTTTCGTACAGAAATCACAAATGCATCTCAAAAGTGGTTAACAAAGCAGAAAATGTTGAAATAAAAATTATTATTTCTCTAAAATACTATTTTTCAAAATTTGTTGCCATTGTTTCTTAAAACACATACATCTTTACACCCTCTCTCTCTCTCTCTCTCTCTCTCTCTCTCTCTTCCAATAATTGTTTGTTTGTAAAAAGTAAAACTAAAACTGAAACCAAGTTTCTCTCAGGTTATGGAACACTAAAAGCATTATAGCTTTAAATAAATAGAATTTACATAAAATTTAAATTCTATTAATAATAATTTGAGAGAAAAATGCAATTTTAATAGCATTTAAAATAAAAGCAATCAATAATAGAAAATGAGATGATGTGTCCGATTGTACGTAAAAAGTATACGTTAGGGTCAGTCGTGTGGAAACATTTGTAAAAGACAGAGCTGTGCCGATAGAGCGCATCCAACATTCAGGTGACAGACAAACATTGGCTGAGAGAGAGAGAGAGTGAGAGAGAGAGAGAGAGAGAGAGAGAGAGTCGTGCAAAGTTGGGAGCAGAATAGGCCTTAGGGTTTGGGCAGTGTTTGGGAATACGGGAGCAAATATAAGGATTGTTAGTTAATAACTTCCTTAAATTAATCAATTGTCTAATTTATAATGTTTTGTGGTTTTCAGTGTTAAAATGTTAAATGAACTCTATTTATAAGCCGTACAAACAGCTGAACAATGAGACTATCATTTTTTATTACAACAATTTTAAATAACTTCAGATTTATGTTATGTTTAAAACAAATATTTCAAGGCTTTAGAGGACGTGTTACTAATGCTTAAAGAAAAGCAAAAAATAAAAAATAAAATGTTTTAACAATTGTAAGTTAATGTTAAGAATTAATTTAAAAGCATGATTTCTAATAATTAGTTGATACATGTGCAGGAAATATGAGCATGATAATACGATAATGATAATAGTTAGATGACATACCCGTATGCGTGCGTTTGTGTATTTTGAGGTTTTCGCTGCGAGCAAACACTTTCCCACATCCCGGGAAAGGACATGGAAATGGTTTTTCTCCCGTATGTACTCTAATATGATTGACTAATTTGTATTTGGCTTTGAATGGCCGTCCATTTCGGGCGCATTCACTCCAATAGCAGGCATGGTTTGAGCACTCGGGCCCTCCGACGTGCTCTACTGTAATGTGGGTCACAATCTCGTGCATAGATGTAAACGACTTATTGCACGGCTTCTTAGGACTGGTCTGTTCGGTGTCTATCCATAAACATGTCATCTCTTGTTTGATCGGACAGTTCCTCATATATCTGAAGAAAGCACCGGAAGCGTGAGCCGTGTGATGCATATTCATGTGATTCATGTGTCCCATTGGATTCATAGGCCCATAAGGACCAGTCAGGTGGTGATCACTTCGGGCCGTTTGGTTGAAACTGTGATCGGGTCGGCCATACATGTCAGGGCCGGGCAATGCGAGTCTCATCTGTCCGTTCATGTGAGGGGAGGGGTGGTGTGCGGCCGGATGGTGATCGAGGCTGGGGAAGAGGACATGAGTGTCGGCGTTGGTGTGATGCGGGCCATGCAGTGCCTGAGAGGCGGACACAAACATAGTGGTCGCGTGATGCGGATGCGGTTGCACTGTATTGCCCGACAGGGCGTCGTGTGGTGACAGACCAGTGGTGAGAGTAGGCATATGCGGGTCGCGGCGTAACAGGAAATCTCGGGCGGCGTAGCCGTGATGGTGATGATGGTGTGGCGGGTGAGGCATACCGTAGCCGTTTTGGGCGGCAAATGTCTGGTGATTTGGTTGGTGTTGACCAACACCTACAACACTGGTGGCATCGGTGGCGTGCGATGGACTCAATTTGATGGTCTGATGCATGTGTGCGGCCGTCGCGCTGTCCATAAAAGGATTAAGCATTTCGATGGACTTGTGGTTCACTTATGTCTTAATGTCCTGATGTGTGACAATCAGAAAGAAATAAAACTACTTCTTAGACACAACACAAACACTTGAAGTGTCACTCGTATTGACAAAGAGGACCGCAAAAGATCGCATCCGTGGGAGAGCTATACTCGTGCTGAGCCGTCAGTGCCGTCACTGAACATAGTATTCAATTGAGCTTAAAGTCTATGCAGTTGTTGTCTGTTGTAATGGTGAGAGTGTGTGCCCTCCGGGGCGGCAACCAATCCGTGTGACGTATCCGGTCTGAGCACTGCCTCATCGCTTCACTCCCGGACTCTAAGCCATAAACGCCATCACGTTATGGATGTTATGCATGTTATGGATCCCACTATTTTGATACCAACTGTGGCCGAAGTGGACGCCAGTGATGGCACTACTGGTGCTCAATCTCACTGATCCAATAATAGGGATTCTGGCGGTGACTCTCCAGGCATACCGTTTGTTTGGCCATCCCTTTCTCACACCACCAACAGTGAGATCAGTCATCCCATTGCCCACAACTGCGCAGCCCTACCACATAAGGGGCCGATACCTCTCACTACATACATATCACATCCACCAACACATCCATCCATACCATCTCTCTCTCTCTCTCTCTCTCTCTCTCTCTCTCAAATCAGTAAATTTTTTGAGCACCGTTTATAAAAAACAGTCCCAAAACAGTACTTATACCTGTATTTTGTGAGCATTCAATTCAAAACTGCATCTCATATGCCGTATGTGTTTGGAAAGTCTCACTGGAATTCAGTCTCACTTCAAGCCTATTATTGAAATCATGAAAAACATATAATTCTTCATAACCTCTACCATTGAATACACATAAAAATATTTTCCCACTGAAAACCAGTGCCTATTATTTGGTTTAGTGTTTGGTATTAGAGTTACTGAGTGATCGAGAGAGAGAGAGAGAGAGAGAGAGAGAGAGAGAGAGAGAGGAGCTAGGCGCGTGTGTCTGCCCAGTGCATTATTTATATAAAAAGTGCATGGTGCTAAATCGTGAGCGCATATATGGGAACGTGAACTCCGCTAACTTATAAGAAATTTCAGGTGAGGTTTCATGTATACTGTATATTGAATATATATGCCAATAGCACCGGCATATCATCTCATATCGTATCGGACTCTCGCAAAGTCCCGCTTATTTCTCAATGTCTTTTCGTGAGTTCACTTCATGTGAACGGAAGCGCATAAAGAGAGAGAGAGAGAGAGAGAGAGAGAGATTAAATCGTTTATGTATTTATATATTCCATGAAAATCACATTAAGCTATTTCTGGGACCGAATATATTAATTGTTGGCTTTGTTTTGTTTTATATTCTGTGCTGTTATTAATGATTAGCTCTCACTTTACATCCGAGACTATAATAATAATACTTTTAAATTTCTTTTTTAAAAACAGAAGTAAACCAAAATCGTATTGAATTTAATTTTATGGTTTTCTAAATCTAATCAAATTTCAGCACAAAATCCAATGAATAGTTCGGTATCTGAAAAACCGGTATAAAAGAAGTATATCTTTTTACCTTTAATTCACTTCTTTAGTGTTATTACTATTATTATAGATATTTTATAACCGATTATTTTGTTATCAAATAAAGTGAGAGTGAATATCAAGTTTAGGCTCTCTCTCTCTCTCTCTCTCTCTCTCTCTCCTGACATAAGTCGTGAGAATGCGAGTAATCAAACGACTTGTTATATAAAAATATGAAAACAGTTTAGTTTTTCATATTTATTGTTATATCAGTTTAAATCGTTTGGCACAAAACACTCATAAATATCTGCATATAGTTAGTGCCCCCAAAACAGACAGTGAAAGAAAATATTTCTCACATAAACTACAGGTTGGCATCAGTTTTAGTGGTAAACCAAAACATTAATAAATATTTCATAGAAATAATTACCATTTTTTCGGTATAATATTGCAAAAGAGAAAATGCCTACAAATGCTTGCAAAACCAGAATCGACTGGATTTGTGACTATATTTTTTGTTTAAAATTTATCATTCGCTGTCATTGCGATGAAAGCAAAATATTTTTCACAATTATCTCTCTCTCTCTCTCTCTCTCACTCACTCACTCACTCTCAAAATAACGTGATTCTCAACCAAACATTTAGCGTATTTATTATTAATATATTTTTAAATGTAAATATTGTATATTTTATTGAGAGACTAATGATAACACTTTTGATCGCTTATCAAATATATGGCAATTTAATACACATTAATACACATAAATTATAAATGTTATTCAATATATTGTGTTACAAATAGTCCTCATATAATGTGCAAACTTTAAACTTTTCAAATAAACATAGGAACTAAACGTTACTTTTTATGAGATATTTCATCGAAATGCTAGCTTATATCATATGATGACATGTCCTGTACATACTGTACTAGATCAAAGAGTGAACAAGTGCAATTTATTAATACACACATAATTGCCTGAATAGACAGCAACCCGTTTTCGCTTTTGAGATAACCTTTTATTAATACATTATATGATTATGAAATGAGAAGTGGTATTCATTGGCACACACGAGCCAATTATCTATCAATACTTTTAATTCAATGCAGACTATTATGGGGGGCATTCAGGCTATGAGGTTCTGGGGGTCTGTCTGTTTCCAGCGCCCAATGCTTTTAGGCCAAGAATTCACGAAACTATAAAAAATAATTGAAAGAATTTTTACCATAAAAAACTTATTATACAATATAAACAAAGATATCCTGAATCAAAATATCTCAAGAATTTTCTGATCGTAATATTTATTGGTAAAATAATATCAACCATGTTAATCCTGGAGGCTTTAGTGCATTTTTATCTAGTTATGTATACATTTGCCATATACAGTGTGAATGTCGATACAATATATCTATAAGTAAATGAAACCGATATATAATATGTATGGCATATAAACTTCGGGACGAAATGAAGCAAAATTCTTAAAATTTAATACGAAATCCATTTATTAAAAGCGATTACAGGCTCTGATATAATGAGTGTTATGTTTTTGTTATGGGCTTATAATAAAAGCTCTAATACTATGAGCGCATCACTTATTTTTTTGTTGTTATTTCTGCGCTTATTTTCCGATTAGAATACCACTCCACACGAGACTCTGTGCATAATTTCTGGCTTTAGTGCTATATAACTTTATATAGTATTCTTACATATAATATTAATAGGTTTGCTATGGGCGATAGTTACGTTTGTGACGCAACCCATAGACAATGTTAGGCATTTGGGAGAGTGATAGAGACTGGGCTACAGAATACCTACAGCTATAATATCCACTGTAAGCCATACTGTGAGCCCCGAATTTAATGCACAAAACAATTTACTATATTTACATTTATATTACACAAGAGTGGTTCACAATTACGTGCTAAACAAACAGTACATTTTCAACACCGAGAGAGAGAGAGAGAGAGAGAGAGAGAGAGAGAGAGAGCAAAAAACATAACAAAATCTGTGAGAAATAAAATTTTAAAGGGATTTCAAACACTTAAAAGCACTTATTTTGAACTTAATTTTCTTTAACATTGCATTCCTTATTATCGGAAGATATTTCACACATACTTTACTCGTGTGATTATAATTGACGATAAATATTAAGTTTTTTCTGCTTCTCCTACTTCTTGTGCCGCAGACTTTATACATATATATTTTGTCAGTTCATGTCTTTCAAGTGTATTTGTAAATAAGTTTATGTTTAAATTGAATGAACAAATAGTAATTTTGCGATTAGTTTTCTATACATTACACACGAGATTAGATATAATTAGTGCTTAAATTGGTTTATTGTTTGAGAAATAGAGGAGAGAGAGAGAAAGAAAGAAAGAAAGAGAGAGAGAGAGAGAGAGAGAGATGACTGTATGAAAAAAATTATTATTACTATTAGAGAGGTTTTAGATCTAATATTCTCCCATTTCTCTCTCTCTCTCTCTCTCTCTCTCTCTCTCTCGACTTAAAGAGCAAATTATGATCAAAAAGATAAGATTTTCATCTCTCTCTTTGATGTATAAGTTATTTACGAACTCTTATGAGAGGCGAAGAAGAAGAAGAATAGTTGTCACGAATTCTGCGGAAAAGCAAAATAAAGAGAATTTATGATCAAAAAGATAAGATTTTCATCTCTCTCTTTGATGTATAAGTTATTTACGAACTCTTATGAGAGGCGAAGAAGAAGAAGAATAGTTGTCACGAATTCTGCGGAAAAGCAAAATAAAGAGAAATTTTTTGTTGTTTGCATTTGAGGTTTTGGTTTTGCACTGCAATGAAAAACATAACGTCGAGTGCTATTAGAAAATATATGAAAGAGAGAGAAGAAAAAGTAAAGTTAATTATTTATATAAGTGCTTACAATCGGCTGTATATACAGAATATACGCTATACCAGAGCCATACCTGATATACTACATCATACCAGTGCTCACTTTATGATCAAAAAGATAAGATTTTCATCTCTCTCTTTGATGTATAAGTTATTTACGAACTCTTATGAGAGGCGAAGAAGAAGAAGAATAGTTGTCACGAATTCTGCGGAAAAGCAAAATAAAGAGAATTTTGTTGTTGTTTGCATTTGAGGTTTTGGTTTTGCACTGCAATGAAAAACATAACGTCGAGTGCTATTAGAAAATATGAAAGACTTTATCGCATAGTAAGGTATATACCATTACTCAATGAATGAGTTTATATTAACAACTTATGCATTTACAATTATTTACTAATTTAAACTTGTGGTCAATGTTATATTTGATGAATAGGATATACCTTAATATGCGATAAACTCTTTCATATATGAAAGAGAGAGAAGAAAAAGTAAAGTTAATTATTTATATAAGTGCTTACAATCGGCTGTATATACAGAATATACGCTATACCAGAGCCATACCTGATATACTACATCATACCAGTGCTCACAACCATAATATGGGATACAAAAGGCCAA